ATGCTGATGTCGTTTACCTCATGTTATTAAACATTTTCTGCTACACTCAGACTCCGTGCTTGCGAGAGGGGAAGTATTGCCTCTTAGAGGTACCCAGGGGGGTGGTATGTAATTGTCCCAGGTCACTGGGTGGGGGCTCGAGCCGGTTTTGCATTGTGTTATCGAAACGGAACCCCTAGATACAGAACCCGGCCCTTGTTGCTGCCAACTTAGATGGGCAGAAGGGTTACACAAAGAGCACACCAAAGCCTTTCCCCCCCCTCCCCCAAGATTTGAAAGTATCTTGTCCCCTTATTGGTCCTTTGGGTCAGGTGTCAGCCAGGTTACCCGAGCTTCTTAACCCTTTACAGGTAAAAGGATTTTGGAGTCTCTGGCCAGGAGGGATTTTATAGTACTGTACACAGGAGAGCTGTTACCCTTCCCTTTATAGTTATGACAATGGGTTAGAGGAGAGGAGTCTACTCTGCTCACTAAATATTCCAAAGAGAAAGTAGCTCTTCCTTCCATTGTTCTGGTACAGCAAACATCTGCTCAGGCAGATCTAGAGAAACAACCAACGGAGAGCTGCTGTCCCATGACACCCATATCACGGCCAGCAGCTGACACTTGTTTCTTCTGAAGCTTTATTTTGTAGCAATAGATCCTGTTAATCATGTAAGAGTTAGTGTCTGAGGTGGGAAAGGGTGTGCAACATGGTAACATTAAAAGTCATGGGTAGTCTCCTTTGCCCTCAGTTGTCCTCCTCTTTGATGGGGGTACAGCCAGAGAAGAAGCTGGTGTTACTACTCAACATTCGCTTTTTTTTCTTCACTAGTGGCAATTGGTTCTCCTGGGACTCTACATCTCCATTGATTAAGAGTGCAGCTGTGTTGGCCTTCTTGACAAACACATCTTGCTCAGCGATCTCTTTCAGGACCTGGTAAGAAAATGAAGCTATTAGCTTGAGTTGCCACAGCACTCAAAGAAACCAGCCAACCCTCCCTGACACTTGGAAGACATCCACAATTGCAAGCTGCCTTTCCCCAGTCACTAATGGTAATCCACAAAAGCTACTCTATTTTCTTTACTTTACATGTCAAAACTCTAAAGAGATTTATAAAATGGGGCAGAAAGAAGTTGGGTGAGAGGGAGCAGAATCTAGTGTACTTAGTTGGCATAAGGACACTGGGAATCAATTAGGGTGAGGTTGAGCCAGGTAAAGGGCCAACATGTCAATGGCTTATTTGAGAGCAAAAAGGTCTAATTCCCCCAGGCTGCTCAGAAGGTTAGGGATAAACAAGAGGCAGAAGCAGTGAAATTGTCTCAGTGAATTTTCTCCTGATTTAGTGCCCACTGCTACCCATGAACAAGATACGGCAGCCAGTGGCTGGAAATCAATTCCACCCAGGCTCCCCCATTTCTGATTTGTACCTTCTTGGTTGGAGTGATACATATTGGTTCAAAGAAGGTCTCCCCAGCAGTCACTTCAGTGGGATCTTCCAGTTTGAAGGATCCTTCAGAATCTCTTGTTTGGTTCTCACTCATAGGACCATCCTGAGGGACAGACATGCACATTAGTCTAGGCCAATGCTGCCCCATCAATAAATCTTATTCAGGAAATAGATTTATGGATCCTAATATTTTACTTCCCCTTGCTGTGAACAGCAACTCTAGAGAAAGTGGCATGGGCACTAGAAGGCACATGTTATAAGGCAACTGGTTCTTCAAGGTGATAAGGGATCAAAAATCAGCTAATTTTGCTTTCTAGGTGACCAGGGTGGGAGGTTTGGAGCAGAGGCCTCCCAGTATCAGACTGCTAGTCCAACTCCAATGCAAAAGGCAGATAGGGCTACTATTTGGAATCATAAATGATCAGGATGGTTTGTGAGGTAGCTAAAACCAGCTACGTTCCTCTTTGGAGGTTTTTAAAAAGCCATGAATAAATGGAGTGGAGTAAGCTTTTTGTACAGTTTGGACCAGAGGCACAAGTTCATGTCCGCTACCAGGCAGAAGGGACTACCATTACCTATCCTCTGAGAAGCATCTGCAAGATTGCAGCAAGTTAACCCCAAAGACTGGAGACCAGTAGGAAGACTCCCACATTCATATACTTTAATGCTGCAGGCTGGCAAAGCAGGTGGAGCTACTAACATGGTTAACCTGGCAAGATGCACCAGGTGGATTATACGCAGTGACATTTACAATTGTTTCCAACATAGGGATAGACCTTACGTTGCCAAGGTGCATAGGCACCACTAGCTTGTGGATGCCCATGTTCGTCTTTCTGAATTAGATGATATGGAAATTATCGGGTAGATGTTGGGTGCATCCAGCACCAAGGTCCAAGCGCCAAATGCAGTAGTACTCACCAGCAGGCCAGAATCACGGTTTCTACATTTTGTTGCATCACAGTTACAGCCTGCGGTACAGCCTAGCTTCTGCTTCCTGCAGCCACACTGCCTGTTTCCACATCGGCCCCGGCAGGAACACTTTTAAGAGAAGAGAACTCAAGGTAATAACAGTTCCACTGCTGCTGGGCTGTGTCTAGATAGCCCCAGCAGTCAGAGGGTCTTTACCGGTGCTAGTACTGGACACCAAATTGCATAAATTACCATGACCCTCACCTCACTGCCACTCTATCCCCAGAAAAGAGATGCATGTGACCCACTGAGCCATCTCCTGAAGTAGATGTTCATTCTGAATATTGGTGTTTCAGCACCATCACAATAACTTTCATCACCTCACCAGGTCAAATTCAAGCTTGAGACCTCTCCATGTACCCATTACACATGCCAGCAACAGCCAGTCTCACTCACAGGTCTAAGTGCATGAAACTAGAGAGTTTCTCCCAGATAAAGCTAATGCACATCCCAGTTCAGAAGTAAAAGGGCTGCATTGGTTTTGTGGCACAGTTTTAAGTTCTAAGTGAAGTACAATCAGCCACTCTCACCCCTGCAATGGCTGTTCTGAAACTGCCCAGTTTTTAAATGAGGTCTGAGCACAGCAGTTCAGAATTACAAACTCCCTTTGATGCCAAGCAGCAGTTTCAATGTGGATGGCCCCCACCCTTCAGATCAGTTGAGGAGCCTGCATGTAGCTTGCAGATGTGTCAGAGTGTATCTGTCAAAAAAGATTTGAGGGAGAAGGCAGTCAGCCTTCATAGGGGATCAGAGCTCTGGCTTTGGGGAAATTCAAGCTCAGAATGGCCCATTGGTTCTTACTGACTTAAAAGTGTTCAGCACATGCAAGCTCCGTCCACACTGCTTCTCCCTCAAAAATCTTAGTGGAGAGCAAGAGCCTGAACAAGGTATCACAACGGGAACCAGGAAGGAAGGAGAAGTTCCCACAAAGTTTAACGCATCTCTCTACCTCCCAAATGCCATTCTTTAGTTGTATGCATGTGCTTCATTTGGTACCCATCACTGCTTGTGGAGAAAGCTGCACGGTACCAGTGTCATCAATATTTTTGCCTCTTTATCATCTCCCACGCTACCTCACTCATCTTCTATTCTGTCCCCCTTTCCCATTCTACATGTAGTGCTTAGTGTTCCATACCCATCTTCTCCCCACGGGGTCAGCAGCCCTGTACACATAGAAGCTGACTACTCAGCTTCTTCTGCATCACACGATAGCTGGGACTGTCTGCAGGGGGACTTTGCAATCCTAGCCAGTTTCTCTCTGGAACAGCCACATGCACGAGCATAGCAGTTCAGAGAGTTACAAACTCCTTTGATGCGCAGGAAGTACAGCTACCCTGGAGCACTTGCTACTTTTGCTGCTATCTAAAGTGTTCAGGTGGATGGCAGACAAACCATCCATCCAAAGTACTACTGGCCACAACTAAATGCCCTCTGGTGCTCCTGGAGTAAGTGGCTTTTGCTTCAGGATGCCAGTGCAAACCCCACAGTTCAGCTGAGTTTCATTCTGCATGTGCCAGGCAGCATCATGACACATGTAAGTGGTCCCCTCAGTCAGAGCTAGTAACCCAAGCCGGAGGCAGAGAAAGGTAACTGGATCATACCCCTGATAGGCTTTTCTTGGATCCTTTGGCTGCTTTTATCGGCATCCACTCTGCATCTTCCATCTCCCCTCCAGACTCCTCGGATTCAGAGAACAGCTCTTGCACATCCATTTCTGGTGTCTGTGCACGGGGTTTTGCAGTTGTCTGACGGCGAATCTTTGGCTACAGATGGAAATTAGATGGTTTGAGACCTCAAATGTGTCCGAATTTGGACTACTCCAGAGTCCCAGCAGCATATCACACCCAGCTTACTTGAACAGCCAAGAGAACTGCAGGACCAAGGAGGTGCCAAGTCATCAGGTTGGCAGGGATTCTTAACAGTTCAAAGCAGCAGCTGGTTTAGCTTGTTATCTTTAAACAGTTTGCAGAACTTTGGTGCACTGCCCCATGCTACACAGCTATAACAAGTGATCCTAAATCACCACATTATTCCTTCCAATAGCTAGTGGTTAGCATATTGGCAGGCCATAGGTTATACTTGATTTCTGGTTTCTTGCTCCCTGGCTCAGCAAACGCTGGCAGTGCTGCAGAGGAAACAGCCTGCTTGTGAGGGTGGGGACAAGGCAAACTGTATCAACATACAAGGTGTGACAGCTTCCTTTAGACAGAAGAGGAGCAACAGTGCCAACCGGTTACAAAAGGATTCTAGTTCTTTGCTAAAGAGGAGGATGGGAGGAATCTTTGGGGCCTGCCTAGGGCAGATGATGCATCTACCCCAGTCTTCAGAACAAAGAAGACTAATAAAGCAACTCAGGTGTAAGAGGGAAGTTTGAAAGATTTGTTAGCCAGTATCTTTATCCTTACAGAGCCCAATCAGCCAAAGAGAAGTGTGGCAATTAGCACATGGCAGTTGTTTACCTTGGGTGGAATATAATCAAAGGGAGAATCTGGGGACTGAGTCGGCATTTGCTGAATGTGTCGGAGCTTCTGTCCGCTGGCAATTTGGTGGAGTATTAGTTTCTGTTAGAAAAGAAGATGAATTTCATTGCATCATAAGTAGCCAAACCTAACAAACCGTGCCACCAATAAGCTGCCAGGTGGCTATGCACACACCCTTCCCTACCTGTTTGAGGGACTCATTCTCCTGGAGAAGCTCTTGGTTCTTCTCACAAAGTTCCCTCATTTTCTCAAGCTCTTCATCCTGTTCACAAGAAAAAGAATGAAATATGTAGGGTTATTTAGGGTCTGAAAGGTAGAAACTGCTTCTAAACTGCTAGCAGATTGTTCAAGTCAGGAGGAGGTCTTGCTCAATGCTTAGGAGTGCTCTGCGCCTCCACATCCACAGAGGTGGCCTCTCCACCATTCTCCAACAGGAGACTGGACCTTCAGTTTTGAGGTCAGGAGGAATACAAGCCTCACTGTCAATTAACTTCCTCTATCCTACCAAACAGGCCAACAGTTCTCTCTTCTCATGTTACAGTCTCCCAACTTTTAACACCTTCCCTACCCTTCAGGGACAATCTCGGAGCTAGGCTAGGAAAGCTCTGCTTCAGTAGCTCGGCCAACTCTCTTCTTCCCTAGCAATTTGCTATACTAAACTCTAGTAGCTTTGAGGGAGAGGATAGTGTATTCCACTGCTGTTTGCTACTGTAGGGCCCACCCTGGAGCTGGTGCTTTCAACATTCCCACTGTGGGATCCCCCCGAAAGACCCTTCATCACTGAAGGCAGACTGATGCTGCACTCAGCATAGAGCTAACAGTATTCCTTTGGTTGGCTGAGCATGCAGAAAAGCAGCTGATGTTGGGCTTGTGGAAGCTGAACTGGTCTGAGGCAAGTCTGTTGTCACTTAGTTTGCTTCTTTGGAAGGAGCATTTATGAACACAGACTAGAGGCCCAATATTCCAGCCATCTACTAGCAACTTCTCCAAGAAGTCTAATCTACAGATGGAGAGCAGCATGAATAATTTCCATTGTTACTCAGCCACTCTGAAGCCCCGCTTCCAATGGCAAGGAGCTGGCATTGCTACAGCAGGGGCAATGGGGTTACACCCACATATAAAATGCTCCTGCACCAGGGGACCCCTCCATGAAGAGGGAACCTGCCACAGCTGAGTCCACCTCCAGCCAATCTACCTGGAACTTGAGCCGCTCAAGTAGCTGTTGCTCGTGCTCAGTTAGAGAGTCCTCCAGCTTCTTCTCTGCTGCTTCTTTCTGCTGCAGTTGGCTAAGCAGGTACAGAACCTACAGGCAAATTAACACAGCATAGATGAAAAGGATGCAGACAGTGACAAAACATGCTTTTAAGGGATAAACCCCTAAGGCATGCCTGGCGGTCTTGACATTCTCAGTAGACCTGGAGGTTTTGGGGCAGGTGAAGAGATGGTGTGGTGGGCAATCTCTAGTAGGCAAACAGGTTGTAGAGACAAATAAGCTAGTTCTTTGCCATCCATAGCATGAGAGTAGTCTGGGCCCACTTGAAAACAACACCTTGTGTTCAGATGCAGCAAGTTTGTGCCTTTGAATGGAACTGAATAAAATGGTTCTGTTTTTACTTCAGCAAGACCATTTAGCACCACTAAAACTTTAAAAATGGAGATCAGAAGACAGATGAGGGAGACTTCCTAGGGGGTAATTATATCAGGTCTGCCAGAGGCCAATAAAGCCTCATGAAAATAGGTTTGGGTTTGTTTGGGGATTTTTGTTTTTTTTAAAGACAGGTTGCAAATTGATTTTAATTTAACCCTTTTTCTCTTAAGGAAAGAGGCACTTGGATCTAGGATCATGGCCTTAACTCTTCTTCACGGGCAGACCTTTAGGAGCAGCTCCAAGGCATTTGTTTAACCCCACGGAAGCCATGCAGTGTTAATCATGGTACTCCTTCACCCCTGGGTTTTACCTTTTCCTGATGTTGCTGCTCCTGCATCACCAACTGACTTTGGAGCTCAGCCTCTATATCTGCCACCTGGTTTCGCTCTTCAAGCAACATTTTCTGCATATCTGCACAATTAGCTTTGCTCTGTTCCAGGCTGCTGTGACGTTTGCTTTCCTCCACTTTGGAGGAAACCAGCTGAAAGACATCAGTAAGGAGACTATTGAGGAAAATGGGTGCCACTCTCCACAGCATATGATTGGGACTGGACATCAGCAACAAGGTGCTGGAGTCAAATTTAAAGCTATACACACTTGAAAGCCATTATCAGGTACACCCCTCCCCTCCCCGCACACACACTTCACTATGGAAACAGACAGAATAGGCAGCACTGACAACAGTTACTAGAATGACTCCATCATCGTCTATTACCTTTGTTTCTGCATTTCGGCATGCCATGGTCTCCCCAGTCTTCAGATCTCTCTTGATCCCACTTACCTCATTTGTCTCCAGTCTTCTTGGACTTGACATCTACTTCTCCTGCCTTGAGTTTTTAACTCTCTCCTTGATTCTCTACAAGTCTGGTTTCCTCCTCCTCCACTCCATTTATGCTTCCTTTATGAGTGGCCTCTTCTATTATCCCTCAAAGTTACCCACCACATAGAAAGACAATAACTCCTTGCCTGACCTTTATAGACTGTGCTTTTCATTGCTGACTACTCCTTCAGGGACTCTTTCTGTTTTCCTCTCCTCCCTTGCACTCAGAGTACCCCCAGAGATTTGTCCTCTGCCCTCACTGCCCCTAGGCAAACTCATCTGCTCACAAAGATCTGATTAGTGTCTCCAGGTCAGTGCCTCCAAGATTTACTTCTGTCCAATTTTTGTGTGTGTGTTGTTGTTTTTTTTAAAACCTACCTTTCCTGCTGGGTGTCTCGATGCCAACTTAAAGCCATCTTGTCAGAGACTGAATGAGTTATCTTCCCACCTCCCAACCGTAGACATTGCTAATAAATTCCTGTTTCTCCACAACTCATCCTTCCAGTTTCTGGAAGTCCCAATCAGCCTTTGATCGTATCATACCTTTACTAATCCAACTTGCTCCTTTCTGGCTTTCTTTACACACTTCATCCCTCACTCTTAACCTTCCAAAACTCTGCAGCAGAAAGTTACATGGCTCACTTGTAGCTATGACCATGGTCAGCTCTTCCCTGAACACCATCATGGGCTCCACCATACCTCCTGAGTCAGATTCAAGTTCTTCCTTTTCAAGGATGGCGTCTCACCTCCCAAGCCATTTGTCAAGGATGCATCCTATGTGTCTTTTCCCCCAGACTTGCCTCCATGCTACTCCCCAGGCCAGGAATCTCATTCTGACCCGATCCAGCATGCCTCTTCCCTCTCTTTAGGCTGCCCATACAACCCACTTCAAGGAGACCAACTATAGTTAAAACAACCATCTATGTAACCTTCAAAATGAATGCACTATTCACCCAATGACCCTTGTCACAACCCCTTCCCCTGTCATGTATCACCACATTTGTTACTTCCTTCTATTCTTGTCTAACCTGAGATTATGAGCTCTTTGAGGCAGATATGGTTATAGCTAATAAATACAGTGCAGCAATCCTAAGCAGATGGGTGTGCCACAATGCAGAAAGAATGTACCTCTCCAATTAGGTATTTCAGGGCACACTTTGCCTCTAGAATAGTTGCAATAGTTTCCCAGCGTTGCTTCACCCGGTCTCCATTGTCGGCATCCAATAGCTTCTGCTGCAGATCTGCTATCTGGGCACTCCTTTGGAAACAAACACGCATTTGAGCTCAAGAAAAAGAATTGGAGTAGTTCGTGGATAACAGTAATATCATATTCCCAAAACATTACAAAAACTATGGAAAGCAGCTTCAGTTAGTTGATTGTTTGTACGGTGGTAGGGTCTGCTGCAAAGCTGCATTGATGACTCAGCTGGAAATTCATTCTCCTGAATCTGTACCAAGCCACTGCTTCAGCATCATGCAGGTAGGTGCTGTGCTAACATCTTTCAGATAAGCAAAATGGACATACATCTCTCTTGCATAAATAGTGTTCATAACCCCAGTATCTTGGAAATTCTCACTTGATAGCTATATTCTGTCTGAAACTACGCAGAGCAGATCAGTTCTATTTGCTATTCTTTACTTCTCCCAGGTCTCACAGAATGGCTGCAATGGTGAAAGTGTAGGGTACCGTGGGATGATGGTGCTATAAAAATGAGAGCTAGTTCTGCCTGTTAGAAGCTTCATGACATTCCCTTACCTGAGCTCCATCTCTGTTTCCAGGCTTTCTATCTGCTTTGTGATGGAATGGTCTATTTCTGAAGCCTGCACGTCTGCGACCGAGTATGTACGTCTCTGAAGAGAATTGCAGCAAGACATAATTATGAAATAATTTGAGGTTGGGGAGGCAGAAGGGGAGTGAGAACAACCTAGTGCTTGAGCAGGGGAGGGCAAACTACAGCCCACGTCCGGACCATCGGACCTTTTAATCCGGCTCTTGAACTCCTGCGTAGGGGCAGCCAGGGGGCTCCAAGCGCCACCCCCCTGCAACTCCCATTGGCCGGGAACCACGGCCAATGGGAGCTGCAGGGGCAAGTGCCCGCGTAGGAGTGGGAGGGGGCATGCTGCTGCTTCCAGGAGCTGCGGGGGCAGCGCCTGCGGACGGGGCAGCACACAGTGTGGCCTGGGCGTGCCTCCGCGTAGGAGCCGGGGTGGGGGGGGGGGACGTGCTGTTGCTTCCAGGAGCTGCTTGAAGTAAGTGCCGCCCGGAGCCTGCGCCCCTGAGCCTCTTCCCCCCACCCCTGTGCCCCAGCCTTGATCCCCCTCCCGTCCTCCGAACCCTTTGGTCTCAGCACGGAGCACCCTCCTGCACCCCAAGCCTCTCTCCCCAGCCCCATCCCAGAGGTCACACCCCCAGCTGGAACCCTCCCCCTCTCCCTGGCCAGCCCGGAGCCCCCTCCCACACCCTGAACTCCTCATTTCTGGCCCCACCCCAGAGCCCACTCCCTCCAGCTGGAGCCCTTACCCCCTCCCACACTCCAACTTCCAATTTTGTGATCATTCATGGCCCACCATACAATTTCTATACCCAGATGTGGTCCTAAGGCCAAAAAGTTTCCCCACCCCGTGCTTGAGTCTGAGCTTTAGTTTAGACACTCTAAACACTTAAGATAGGGGTTGCATTACCAGGAAAAATGTTTACAAGTAGTTCTTCTCAGCTAAAACACCACCCTCCTTCCCAATTGAACAAGGGGTTGTACACGAAACCTTTGATGGGGCTGGGGCCCACTCTCATGACACTGATGCCAGACTAATTGTTTTAGGGAATAGAACCATGAAGAACCAGATCCCCGCTACCTCTTGTGTTCCAATCACAGAAAAGCAGGAACATGACTGTCTAGAAATCATAGATGTTCAGTATTCTAGCCGCCCAGATCTAAAAGATCAACCACTCCCAAATGCTGACTTGGAATGGTATAAGGATGGAAGTAGTACTGTTGTGGATGGGCAAAGGAGGGCTGGTTATGCTGTTGTGTCTCTTCATGATACCATGGAAGCTGAGAGTTTACCGGCGGGAACATCTGC